GTCCGAAAATACTTGTCATCAAAATTGATAAAAAGTGATGTATCTAGAACTAAAATACGTCTAAATACATCCCCTTTTATTTATTTTGATGACAAGTATTTCCGGACGGAGGGAGTACAAACCAAATGAAAACATATACATTTTGGACATATTTTAACAAAATGGCAATATTGTGTGCACGCCCCGCCGCGCGGAGCTCCATTTCCGCGACACGGATACACTATACTAGTCTACAACCGGCCGCGGCGGTTCCCTTTGTCTTCAACCGGTGGTGAAGGGGTGCTCCTCCGTTCCCGTGAAGCCAAGGCAGGGGTCAACGATGGTCTATGCTAAACCGGGCAAGTCACCGACTGTGCAAGCCGGCAACGCGCCGGCAGTGGCTCTCCTAGGACCCAAGCGGCGGCGGCATCCCATGTTCTACTTTTCCTCAATGTTGACGGCGAACGTGGATGCACTAGCCATTGACTTGTCGATCTCCACGTAGCCGACTTCGTTCTCCACCAACCGGGCGCAGTTCCGCCAACGTTGACGATGGATGGCACGACGTCTGACCTCGTTCATGGAAGCCACGATGCCCGTTCCGCCGTGCTCCTCTGCGTGCCTGCCTGGAGAAACTCGCTACTCCTCCACGAGCTGGCTTGGAGCAGTGAGTTGCTGAACCACGCGCTGGCTTGTGGTGACAACTTGCTCCGTCAGGCAAGGCGAGGGAGGTGGAGCAGCGAGTTGCCTGGCTCTTATCCGGCGGGCTCGGCGGACCACCCAACCGTTTTTTATGCCGAAGAACTGCTCTTCCTGCTAGCGGGATGGCATAGACAGTGTAGAGAAAATGGTGCAACTAGGAGATGGGGGCAGAGTTGTGGCACGATTCTTGCCTGACGTCTGGCCTCGTTTAAATAGCGGGCTGACAGGAAGAGCTTGCCCGGCGTTGTGTTTAATGTCGACCCGCTCGTGAACGAATGTGTGGCCGGAGTAGGTTTCTCGGCACACGTGCGGGTGTACTGGAGGCGTTCGAATGCGGCGAGAAGACGTGTTCAGCCGGGTGTGCAGCGGGCAACGCCCTCTGCCGACACGCCACTTCATTGGCGGAGCCAGTCAGAGGTCGCATCCACTCTGGGCCATCTTCAATGTGGAGCAGCCGCTCTACGATGTATGAATGCGGGAAGCTGGCGTCGGGCGGGAACGCGCGCGGACGAAGGAGGTTTTGGGTGGGGCAGGATGGTCATAAATGGGCGTGACTGCTGTGTGGACGTCTGCAAAGCCCCCTTAGTTTGTCTCCCGTTTGCGAGAGAAAGTAAGTCCGGGCCGTCGAGCGGATCGATATAGGCCCGCCTTGGATGGGACAACACGTCTGCACCACGCGGTTCGGACGGTTACGGCCTTACGGGCGATTTGATGGTCATCGTTGGAGATGCAAAGTTGTATTTAGGGCCCCATCCAATGCCTGCTACCTGCCAATGTCGTTGAAGCCAATGGTGTTGCTATGATCCAACTCCATCATGAATTCCAACAATCCGATTCATTTTGCATGCTACGGTGGTAAAAATCATCACCATATATGAATATCACGTGATTCTTGTGAAGGAAATATGTCCTAGAGGCAATAATAAAGTTGTTATTTATATTTTCTTATATCATGATAAATGTTTATTATTCATGCTAGAATTGTATTAACCGGAAACTTAGTACATGTGTGAATACATAGACAAACAGAGTGTCACTAATATGCCTCTACTTGACTAGCTCGTTAATCAAAGATGGTTAAGTTTTCTAATCATAGACATGAGTTGTCATTTGATGAACGGGATCACATCATTAGAGAATGATGTGATTGACTTGACCCATCCGATAGCTTAGCACTATGGTCGTTTAATTTATTGCTATTGCTTTCTCCATAGCTTATACATGTTCCTATGACTATGAGATTATGCAACTCCCGAATACTGGAGGAACACTTAGTGGCTATCAAACGTCACAACGTAACTGGGTGACTATAAAGATGCTCTACAGGTGTCTCCGATGGTGTTTGTTGAGTTGGCATAGATCAAGATTAGGATTTTTCACTCCGATTGTCGGAGAGGTATCTCTGGGCCCTCTCGGTAATGCACATCACTATAAGCCTTGCAAGCAATGTGACTAATAAGTTAGTTGCAGGATGTTGCATTACGAAACGAGTGAAGAGACTTGCCGGTAACGAGATTGAACTAGGTATTGAGATACAGGCGATCGAATCTTGGGCAAGTAACATACCGAGGACAAAGGGAACAACGTATGTTGTTATGCGGTTTGACCGATAAAGATCTTCGTAGAATATGTAGGAACCAATATGAGCATCCAGGTTCCGGTATTGGTTATTGACCGGAAGTGAGTCTCGGTCATGTCTACATAGTTCTCGAACCCGTAGGGTCCACACGCTCAACGTTCGATGACGATCGGTATTATGAGTTTATGTGTTTTGATGTACCGAAGGTAGTTCGGAGTTCCAGATGTGATCACGGACATGACGAGGAGTCTCGAAATGATCGAGACATAAAAATCGATATATTGGAAGGCTATGTTTGGACATCAAAATGGTTCCGTATGAGTTCGTGCATTTACCGGAGTACCGGGGGGTTACTGGATCCCCCCGAGGAGTCAATGGGCCAATGGGTCTTATTGGGCCTTAGGGGGAGAGAGGAGGCGGCGGCCAGGGGAAGGGCGCTCCCCCAAGCCCAATCCGAATTGGGTGGGGAGCCGCCCCCCTTCCTTTCCTCTCTCTCTCCCTTTTCCTTCTTCTCCTACTCCTACTAGTAAAGGGGGAAACCTACTCCTACAGGGAGTAGGACTCCCTCCCTTGGGCGCGCCCTATGAGGGCCGGCCCTCGCCTCCTCCATTCCTTTATATACGGGGGATGGGGCACCCCAGAGACACACAAGTTGATTGTTTAGCCGTGTGCGGTGCCCCCCTCCACAGAGTTCCACCTCAGTCATATCGATGTAGTGCTTAGGCGAAGCCCTACGTCGGTAACTTCATCATCACCGTCATCACGCCGTCATGCTGACGAAACTCTTCCTCTGCCTCAGCTGGATCAAGAGTACGAGGGACGTCACCGAGCTGAACGTGTGCAGATCACAGAGGTGTCGTGCGTTTGGTACTTGATCGGTTGGATTGCGAAGACGTTCGACTACATCAACCGTGTTTCATAACGCTTCCGCTTTCGGTCTACAAGGGTACGTAGACATACTCTCCCCCTCTCGTTGCTATGCATCTCCTAGATAGACCTTGCGTGATCGTAGGAATTTTTTTGAAATATTGCGTTCCCAACATCTTGAACTAGTTTTGAATTGCAACACTAATAATTAGAAGAAAATAAAAAATTGTTACCTCTCCGGTGTTGTGTATGTCAACTCACAAGCATGAACGTCGTCGCCGACATCGGTCTTCTTAGGGGATGGTAGAGGAGGCGTGGGGGTAGCTTAAGGTGGATGAGATGGGGTAGGATCGATGGAAGGGGTAATATGGCGTTGGAGTGGTTGTGGTCTTCTTCTTCGTCTCCTCAACCTCCATTTCCTTGATCGTTGGGCAAGCGCTGCCTCTACGTACCCATTGGTTGCCTAGTGCGGAGGAAGGTTGAGCATGGTTGCGGTCGTGTGCCTCCCTTTTCGGACACCACTGCGAGCCATGCCACCATGGTGCCCTACCATCGCTTTTCTGGGGCCAACGGCGGATCTAGCATCACCGTCAATGGGGGCAAGGGATGGCAGGGGTGGGGAGGACTCGGGCGTCCATTCTAGCGGTGACCGGGGCGTCAGAGGGCGGCGGCGGCATTTGTGGCGTCGGGAGAAGGAAGAAATGCACGCGTGAGAAAGAGACAAAATGAGGAAACTTGCCCGCTACCGCTCAAATTTGGGTAGGAGCGAGCCGGTTTGACTGATAACTCTTCGAATTTTAAATGGATAAAGTTTTTGAGAAAAATACTACTTATGGATTAACTCTCCAATCCAGGGGAAAAAAATGTTGAGATGCTCCTAGGAGCGTGTCAACCGTAGAATTACGATCAATCTCTTTTGCTGCCTTGTAGTCGGAGGGGAGCGGATCGATTTGGTTTGTACCCAATGCGTGAGGTTTTTGCTTGCCAGCCAAACTTACTTTTCATTATTTCCTTTGCTGCCTAGCGATTTATTACTCCGCACTAGTATCCTTCTCCTTAAAGCTTAAGCAATTCTGAAATGGCATGATTGCACTGTACAACAACATAACATCCAAACCGAAGAAGTCGCTGGCTGCTTCAACGGCTCCGCTCGAGCTCCGCCACTGCAGGCATGTACTACTGTAAAAACGAGTGAGCGCGGACGCACCCAAGGTGCAGCTTCGGCGAACTTTTGAATCACGTCGGGACTCGCCTTCCTTTTTCCTGAGAAAATCGCGTCGAAACTTGCCTGACGGGGCAGACCAGAAATGCTAATGCCGTGTCCTCCACTCGCTCGCTCCCGGAAGACTGATTGATTGGTGGCCATTTTCACTTCTTGATGATGACAAATTCGACAAAAGCCACGCTCTACTTTGCATCTTGATAGGATCGCTCTAGGCTTCCAGTGGGATGTTTCTCATGAACCCAACCAAATCTGGACGAGAGAGGTGCGGGCACCAACTGTGAATTTGGGAGTGGTTGAGTGGAAGAAATGTACTGTACTATTTCGCCCCAACGCCAACCCACACGGCAAGATAAAAAGCGTTACTAGTACTAGTAGCAAAACTGGAGCACACACAGTCCACGCGCTCCAGGTGGTGGAGCTGGTCACTCGTTGTCGTTGTCTCGTAGCAGGCGTCGCTCACCCGGCGGAGTAGTATTTAGCAGGAGCGGGGGTGGGGCGGAGGGTGGAGAGGAGAGAAAGCAGCGGCTGCCGTCCCCTGCCTGCAACTGCAACCCAACTCAACCAGCCAGTCGCCATTACTCTTGTTTCTCATCCGACCAGTGACCACCGACCGCGAGCGCGAAGCAGGAGGAGCGGAGGAGCGGCACCATGCTGGGGCATCTGGCCGGGCTGGTGAAGGTGCGGGTGACGCGCGGGGTGAACCTCGCCATCCGCGACCTCCGCTCCAGCGACCCCTACGTCGTCGTCCGCATGGGCAAGCAGGTTCGTCTCGTCTCTTTTCCCCTTCTCTCGCTGTGTAGATGCAAGGCACCGTCGATCTGCCTGTCGATTCCGCGGATTTAGCCCTCTTTTGGAAAGAATTAATCGCCTCTCCGCGGTCCCCGTTCTGGAGTGTTCTCCTCCTGATTGTTCTCCTCCGCTCTGATTTTTTCGCAGAAGCTCAAGACGCGAGTGGTGAGGAAGAGCATCAATCCGGAGTGGAACGACGAGCTGACCCTCTCCGTCGAAGATCCCACCATTCCTGTCAAACTGGTATGTGTTCCTTTCTCTTTCCCCCTTTTCTCTCTCGCATGGCACGAAAATTTTGATCGATTTTTGGGAAATCTCCTAAACCGAATCGTGAAACGCAATCAATTTTCTCCCTGCAAAAAAGAGAAAGAAAGGAAAATAATAACAATGCCTTTGCACAAAAGGAAAGGAAGGTGAACATTCTGGAAACGCGGGGTACAGTACAGACAAGCAGCCGAAATGGTGACTGGATGAGAGACAGCTGCCTGAGAACCAGCTCATTGCTTCTTGTTCCTGTGCAGGACGTGTTCGACAAGGACACATTCTTCGACGACCCGATGGGCAACGCGGAGCTGGACATCGGCCCGCTGGTGGAGGCCGCGACGATGAGGATCCAGCTGCAGGGCGTCGCCGACGGCACCGTGGTGAAGAAGCTGGTGCCCAACCGGCAGAACTGCCTCGCCGAGGAGAGCGCCGTCTACCTGTCCGAGGGCACGGTGAAGCAGGACGTGGTGCTCAGGCTGAGGAACGTCGAGTGCGGGGAGGTCGAGCTCCAGCTCCAGTGGATCGACATCCCAGGCTCCAAGGGCGCATCAGGCTTTTAATTAACTCTCTGTGCACTCTCTGCTTTTTGCAGAGTTCTTTGTCAAGTGAAAAGCTGGGGTAAATTATGTTTAGAATCGAAGCTTAAGCTAGGATTTAGATGTTGCGATAGTATGACCGCCGTCAGTGTGGTCGAACTTCCTAAGACGGACCGAAGAAACAAAGAGGTGATGGCAGGGGCGTAAAGTGTCTCAGGCTTCCAATCCATCCTCCTTGCTTGCTTGATGTGTTCTGCATCTGCGATCGCGAGAGGAAAGGCTACAATGTGCTGAACAGTCTTGGCTTTTCCGAACCTTGGTTGCCGATGCTAGTCAGTCGGTGACGGGTGATTAATTGCAGTTGCAGATCGAAGAGTAGGTCTGGTTTCTGAAGGAGAATTTTCTTTTGTTTCAGGGAAATTTCTGCGGTGATCTTGATTTGCAACGCGTAACGATATGCAACTTCTGTGTATAGACGCGTAATGCTCAGAGACTTGAACACCCTCTTGACTTGATCGTCAAACCATGCTTGTATATTACTTCCTCTGTGAACTAATATAAGATCATTTATAGATCACTAAAGTAGTGATCTGGACGATCTTATAGAGAGTTTTTACGGTACATCATACTACCGGAAATAGTGGGTAGTATATAATTGATCCGACAAGTGATGTCGACACCGATGACTTCCCGATTAAGATAGGACTGCATCAGGAGTCAGCTTTGAGCCCTTATCTTTTTGCATTGGTGATGGATGAGGTCACAAGGGGTATACAAGGAGATATCCCATGGTGTATGCTCTTTGCGGATGATGTGGTGCTAGTTGACGATAGTCGGACGGGGGTAAATAGGAAGTTAGAGTTATGGAGACAAACCTTGGAATCGAAAGGGTTTAGGCTTAGTAGAACTAAAACCGAGTACATGATGTGCGGTTTCAGTACTACTAGCTGTGAGGAGGAGGAGGTTAGCCTTGATGGCCAGGTGGTACCTCGGAAGGACACCTTTCGGTATTTGGGGTCAATGTTGCAGGAGGATGGGGGTATTGATGAAGATGTGAACCATCGAATCAAAGCCGGATGGATGAAGTGGCGCCAAGCTTCTGGCATTCTCTGTGACAAGAGAGTGCCACAAAAGCTAAAAGGCAAGTTCTACAGGACGGCGGTTCGACCCGCAATGTTGTATGGCACGGAGTGTTGGCCGACTAAAAGGCGACATGTTCAACAGTTAGGTGTGGCGGTGATGCGTATGTTGAGATGGATGTGTGGCCACACGAGGAAGGATCGAGTCCGGAATGATGATATACGAGATAGAGTTGGGGTAGCACCAATTGAGGAGAAGCTTGTCCAACATCGTTTGAGATGGTTTGGGCATATTCAGCGCAGGCCTCCAGAAGCTCCAGTGCATAGCGGACGGCTAAAGCGTGCGGAGAATGTCAAGAGAGGACGGGGTCGACCGATTTTGACATGGAAGGAGTCCGTTAAGAGAGACCTGAAGGATTGGAGTATCGACAAAGAGCTAGCTATGGACAGGGGTGCGTGGAAGCTTGCTATCCATGTGCCAGAGCCATGAGTTGGTCGCGAGATCTTATGGGTTTCACCTCTAGCCTACCCCAACTTGTTTGGGACTAAAGGCTTTGTTGTTGTTGTTTATATAATTGATCCGACAGTTATTATTAATTCCTCATTTTTTTGCTCCAGGACATTTCGGTAATTAACAATTAGAGTTCGGGACTAGTAATTAATGACAATAGTTCGTCAGACGCACCGCCCGGCGGAAGCCTCCTCGGCCGCACAGGGCCGGCCGCTCTGCGTCGAACGGCCTCCCGCCACCGACCCGAGATCTTCCTCCCATGCGTCCCCAGCGTCGACGCAGCCGCCCAGCCCCGCCCGGTGGCCCTCTCCTTGTCTGCATGTACTTCGGCCGGCGCCCTGAGATCGCTTCCTCTCTTGCCCTCTCTCCGTCGAACGTACGTCGGCCGGCACCCACTAATCTAAGATATTACACAAAGGCACATGGTATAGCACTAGCAGGAGTAGTAGACACAAGAACATATCACAGAACAGCACCACACACGAACGGGCATCGCACACAAAGCACACACAGCACGCTGGACAAGCGCGCGCACACACACAGACAGAGAGAGTACGCACGCCAGGCACGCTGCACGCACGCGTAGCAGCAGGACACAACAGACGCTTGCAGATAACAGAGGAAAGGGCAGAGGGAGAGGTAGGGAAGGAGAGGGCAGAGGAGGATAGAGGCGGAGGGCGTTTCCTCGGCATCGGTGCAGGGCTCGAGATGGCGTCCGTGCAGTCGTGGTGCAGTGGGCCGGCGCGGGGCAGGCTGGACGTGGGCAATGGCGACTCCGTGAAATTCCAGCTCTGTCGTCCCCTTATTCTGAAAGGGATCTGCCTACAGGATTTGGTTAACAGTAAACTACCCAAAACGCCCCTAATTACTTAATATACTACCGAAAATTTGATGTAGTATTGCCTCGTCTGAACCGTTAAACCATAGAAATAAATGGCTCCAGTTTAATTTACAGAGGAAGTATTTACCTCTTATAATTATGCATACGAAATTACTGTCCACAGACGCTTTGCAGGGCGATTTTCACACGACCCTGTGATCGATCGGTGCGACCCAGGTGAACCGAGGTGAAATCAGGCACATCCCATCGTTTGTGTAGCAGTTCTCTTATGCATATGTGATTCACAACTCAGACCATTACGAAAAGAAGGCATGAAGATTGAAGACTACATTTCTTAAAGAGGATTCAGGGTTCATAGATCAACGCATATACTGTATTCTCGTGGTATACGACTGTTGGTGCTTCTTCTCATCATGCATTAAACCAGAATAGTGCAATGATGGCAAAACCCGCCGAGGTCGTCGAATCTTGAACTTCGCGCCATGGCCAATCCGGCCTCCCCTGCCATGGCCAATGTTGGTGCTTCTTCTCATCATGCATTAAACATGTAGCCTTTCACATACAACAAGTACAATTGTAGCCTTATACACATATCAACAATAATTTTAACATACTCCACCTTGGCAGTTTGAACTTGGGTCTTCTATTGAGTCTTGATGCTCACTCACATGAGACCGCCAAGTTTGCCCCCTCAGTCTTGGTCGTCTCGACTGAACAAATCACCACGCTCCGAAATTTTGTAGCGCCCCAGCATAACAGGTGAATGCCACATCCGCCTCCTCCTATGGAGTTGATACCAACTGGTATGTAGATATTGGTGCTACTGATCACATCATGGGTGAACTTGACAAACTTACTCTACGTGATCGCTACATCGGTGATGAACAAGTGCATACGACAAGTGGTCAAGGTATGGAAATGCATATTGATCATATGTATTTTCATATGGAAATACATATTGACCGTCCAATTCATCTTGGTAATATCTTGCATGTTCCAAAGGCTTCTAAAAGTCATGTTTCTGCTTCTAAACGTACTGATGATAATCATGCCTATTTGGAGATTCGTCCTAATTTCCTTTTATGTTAAGGATCAGGGCACGGGAAGAATTCTTCTTCAATAACGAGTAGGTGGCCTCTATCCCCTCCAAAATGTGCTTTTAGAGGAGTCAAAGCAGGTGCTTAGCGCAAGCAAACCTGCATCTCCCCGATGGCATAGGCGTCTTTGGCATCCATCATTTATAGTGGTTTGACAGATTCTTAGAAATAATAAATTGTCTTTCTCAAGTAAAGGCGATGATTCGATTTGTGATGCTTGTCAAAAGGGAAAATCTCATCAGTTGTGCTATCATTGCTCAAGTAGTGTGTCTATTGCTCCTTTAGAGCTTATACTTTCTCTCATGTATGAGGATCGGGTCTTGCCTTTGTTGGCCGTTATAACTACTATGTATGCTTATTGACGATTTTAGCAAATTTTCATGGATTTATCTGCTTAAAAATAAATATGATGTTTTTTCAGAATTTCCATGGCTTTCAACACCAAGTTGAATGCATGTTTGTTGTTGTTCAATTGGACTTGGGTGGTGAATATCTCAAGTGCGTGTGTGGGTTGTAGTTGTTCTATATGCGGCAATTTCTGGTTGTTTCCTTGTATAGACTTCTTATAAATAAAGGAATAATCTCATATCAATCCCCGCAATTTCATATTACCCATATAAACACGTAGGCATCCCTATCGTGAGACGGACGCTTCCACTCAGACTTCTACAAATATAGATGCATGAATTCTATGGGAGTGCGTCCGCGATGATCTTGCATCAACACAATCGGTAGACCCGGAGTCTTCCCTAGGGCGGGTCACATATAGTCGATGCATCGTCGCCTTGTCCTCTTATTAGCAACTCCTTAACATCGAGCGCCAATCTCACCAAATCCTAGAAACTCATGGTGGGCTATTCTTACACTATGTCGCTTTATTCCGCATAATAGCCCACCACGAGTGTCAAGCTCACCGGCACTCTTCATCCTGGTATCCTTCTCTAAACAATGCATGTTGCTCGATGTAGTGCAAGTCTGAGGTCCAGAGGCATGACCAAACAAGTAGTTGTTACTTGAGGCGATACTAACTTTGTGTCGGTTTGCTAGAGTCTCTAAATTGGACTCGTACCATGTATTGTAGCATAAGCTTTTGTATTCTAAGGTTTAAACATTCCGCTACCTCCTGTTGAAGAAGCCTCATCATTTACTTACTACCAGTGACCGCCTCCTTGCCTCCTGACTTTGTATCCACACCCTTAGTAAACCAGACCAACGCGAACCTGCAACTCTTGGAGATCCATCATTGCATGCTTTGTGGCTGGGGCTCTCAGAAAATTTTACCAAAGGATCATAGCCAATCAATTGGCCCATCTAGAAGATTATGTTGGGTTTGTTTAGACCCATGCAACCATTAGGGAGCATGGGGAATGGACCCAATGTAGGTACCAGTGTCTTCGACACAAACCAAAGAGAAAGTAAAATTGCATAAGAGAAAAATGTTTTCACCATTGCAAGCTATTTACTCATGCACACAATGGTCAAGTACATGTTCTTTA